GGAAAATGAATGAATGAATGAGCTCTCCGTTTACTGTGTGTTTTAAACCATGTATTCCTTCATCACATCTTTAACTTCTTTAACATACATGTCCCACATCTCAGGACGCCTTCAATCCCCTTCAGAGGCAGAGGACTGAAAGTGAATGAACATATCAGCCGCTTTAGCCGCAGAGAGCAGCCGTTAGCATCTCCAGCCGCAGAGAGCAGCCGTTAGCATCTCCATCCTCAATAACACATCACCACTTTTGTTCTTACGCCGCATCTATCACTTCAGAATAATGCAGCCGAGCAGCCATTCAGCAGGACACGGATTGATTGACGTTTCTATGGATGTGAGGCTTTGTCGAGCGTTGCTGATTATGAAAGAAAGTAACGCAGCGCCTCGAGGCCTGGATGCTCTTCATTGTCATTGGCTCCGAGTCAAGAGACGGTTTCCTGTTTCAGTGACGAGCTGAAGGCTTAGACATGAACAGGGCTGGAGGATTTCTGTTTGAAATCCAGAAAGAGTTTTGTAATTAGATGGTAATAAGTCTGGTTTGGGAACGATGGACAGATAAATACATTATTGATCCTGTCGGAGAAATGCAGGTGCAACAATAGCGAACTATCTGAATGACGTCACTAAGACACGCCCCCGCCGCCTGTCAACTCCCGCCCACATGTTTCGGACAAACACTGCCGAAATGAATCAAATACCACTTGTCACTTTAGACGAAAATGAAATACCAGGGGCAAATTCCACCATCAAACCATCAGGGATCATAGTGTAGACCAATTATAACGTTGGCTTGAATGTCTTCCAGTAGAAAGTTTGAGTTGATAAAAAGATAATGGTAAGGATTATGCTAACATTATCTAGTCATTTAAATTGCAATGCTAGCGCCTTCTGTGTTTGTTTTGCTGTGATTAACTTCCATTTATCAAGTTTTTTTTTTTTGCACTATTTACTTTGTAATTAGTTTGATCATTAGTTAGCTACAGTCAGCTCATATTATAACAGATCCATGGGGTCACAACGGGTTACGCCACTACTGTCTCTGCAGAGAAACTATCAGAGCTAGCCACACTCAGTAAACACAAATGACAATCAATCGACACATTTAAATGTTAATGGGAGAATACATTATACATACATTCATAACACAAGTGCACGGAGGTTTTCAGAATTATCTGTTCAGGTTTTCATGACAAAAATACTTTTTTAATGCAACTAAAGCGATCGCTTTTTTAAAGTAGGTTAACTATCCTCACTGTTACTCGCCTGCCACGGGAAAACCTTTGGGAACTATTTTCTTTGCACTCATTAAATAAACCTTTCGGCATTAATAGTGAATGACGTTTATTTTGCGTGTTGAGTTGGTACAAAGCCGTATCATAAGCGGACCCCGACGCGCTTCGTCTGAACTTATTTTCAGATAGTCACAAAGTTGAAAAAAATCCCTCTCATCTTTCTTCAGGTGTGAGAATTGTATACTTTCTGGATTAGGACAAACAATACTAATATGGATTGATGGGGCTAACTACATTCAGAAGAGCTCAGACGGACCTGATACAGCGGTCCAGATCCAGTCCCAGCTAAACGTAGCTAGGACTGGATCTGGATGCTCCACAGTTGGTCCAGCGAAGTGTTTTGAAAAAACATGTCCTTTTTAACCTTTTCATGAGAGAAATTCTGCTGACCACAAGCACCCACCTGGTCTGATCTGGTCCTGGTCTGGTCCTGATCTGGTCCGATGTTGTGGTTTAACGAACGGGTTGAATGTTACTTTCATATAGTCCTTTTCAGAGTATCTGAAATCGCTCCGACAAGCACCATAACTGCAGTGTTTTGTTGTCACCATGATTCAATGATTTAGCCCAAATAAATACACACGCGTATGAGGAGAACACAGTAGTACTCAACGAGTCGTACACAATGTTTGTCCGAAACATGCGCGCATGCGCAGTCATCTGAGCTATTTTTAGCACATTTCGGAAACCGGACAGTGCCCTATAGTTATAAAATCCAACAGTCTCAGGTCACAGCAGCAGGAGGAGCCTCTGGGTTCAGAGCATTGTCTCTGTTCTGGTCTGGACCAGTGTAAAACCATGAATCCTCTCTCCTCTGGTCTGGACCAGTGTAAAACCATGAATCCTCTCTGCTCTGGTCTGGACCAGTGTAAAACCATGAATCCTCTCTCCTCTGGTCTGGACCAGTGTAAAACCATGAACCCTCTCTGCTCTGGTCTGGACCAGTGTAAAACCATGAATCCTCTCTCCTCTGGTCTGGACCAGTGTAAAACCATGAATCCTCTCTCCTCTGGTCTGGACCAGTGTAAAAACATGAATCCTCTCTGCTCTGGTCTGGACCAGTGTAAAACCATAAACAAAGTCTTCAGATACACATTGGTTAAAAAAATACTTTGTAAACACATGTCACTAATAAATGAGTCTTAAAACCTCTTTTTAAGACTAAAACAAACTAATATTGTTTACCACTATTTAAATCTATTAGTTTAAATAAATAGTCCACGTGTCACAACCATCAAAACGAACCATAAATACCTGTGTTGTCAAGGTCGTGTGGAAAACTGTTTTGTAAATAAAGTTTGATTGATTGAATGGCCGCCTCTGTCGAGGTCTGTCATCTCTGTGTATTTCTGTGCAATCGAACCTCAAACCTCCGCAGTGTGTTGCCATAAGCCACGCTCCAGACCCACGTACAGGTCATTTATTAAATCACGTTGGTCCAGGCTCAGACCAGAGGAAAACCAGAATCCACGGCCGCTGTAATCCGCAGACCTACTCTTCATCTTCACGTCTTCGTAACTCTGTGCCTTTGGAGAAACTCTGGAGTAAGTTCTTGCTTTTGGAAAATGCTACTGGGAGGTTAATTAATGGAGATATTATAAGCCGCCATCTGTTGACGAGGGTTATCCATAAAAGATGAGGCGGTGATGCTTGGGCGTTTGCAAACGGAGGCGGCGGCGTTGGGGATGGCGGCGTTGGGGATGGCGGCGTTGGGGATGGCGGCGGCGTTGGGGATGGCAGCAGGACTCCTGACTGATGATGTTTTGGAGTAACCTTTGTGCTGGCAGATTTATTTTGGAGAGTTTTTGTGCGTTTCTGTACTCAGGTGATTGCGTTCATTAATTTAAGAGTCTGTCACTCTGCTCGGGCGCAGGTAAAGGAGTAAACGTTCAAGATTTGTGCGTTTTGTGATATCTCTGTCATTCACGAGTCACTTTCACATCAACATCCTCCACAGATTATAAGTTGTAAATATTTAAAAACACATCCTATGCATCAGTATCTGTATCGGACCAACATTTCACAATTCCTTAAAATCCCGGCTCATAGATGTCATTACAGCCTCCTGCGTCTGCAAAAAACAACACAAACAAAGAATAACAAACCTTTGTCGTCCTGGAGCTCTGCCAACTGCTCGTCTTCATCGAGAGGACGGAGCTTTTGGAATGTTCCACGGCATTGAACCCGTTTCTGCTGCGCCTGAAGGGGTCACCTTTACCCAGAACTCACAGCTGTCTCCAGGATAGATACGTTTAGATAAGCACAGAGAGCGCCTTTTTAGTGCGCCTGCTTTGCATATTTCCCAAATCAAGTTACCTGGATTAATGTATTAATGATTTACCTGTTTTATAATTGTGTCCTGTTCAGTGGAATGTGGTTCAACAGCTCAAGTCATCGTGTGTTGCTAATGCCTGACAATCTCATGCAGTTGCCTCTCATTGCCTCACGATTAATAATACATTGAACTGGCAGGTGTTTCTGGCTGTTTGTTTAAATATAATATGCTAATTGGGCACAAAATGGCCGCCTGAGGTGACGGCACATTCTTAATTGCTACTGCTTTGTTCGAGACAGACGCTTCGGATGGAGAAAGTAGATCAGCAGCAGACGGTCTCTTTCCTTGTTGTTGATGTGATTGTTGCTTGGGTCAGATTCTCTCCTGCTGATGTTTTATAAAGTGTGATTGTGTCTGAGCCGCGGTGTCGGCTGCAGAGAAACAAGTTTGTTACAAAGTATCACCTGTTTATGCTTTGATTCACATGAACTTAACACAGAAGGCTTTGAAATGTGTCTCATGTTATTTGTATGAAATGTATTTGATTTTAATGGAATGAGATGTGGGGGACAATAGAATGAGGCCAGTGAATTTGGGTCAGTACAGACATCCATTCATCCATGTTCTTCCGCTTTATCCGTTGCCTGGTAGTCTAAGCAGAGACGCCCACTTCCTCCTTCCCAGGCCGCCTGAGAGACCTAGTCCCTCCAGTGTGGTCTGGGTCCTTCCTGGGGTTACATGCCCTCCTCAAGGAGGCATCGGGAGTCATTCTGCCCGAATCACCTCAACCAGCTCCTCTGGACGTGCAGAGGCTCTACTCTGAGCTCCTCTCCATCTCTCTGAGGGAGTGACTCCACTCTGGAGGAAACTCATCTAATACTGCTCCTTCGCCCATGACCTCATGACCATCGGTGAAGGCGGTGATGTCGGTCTGAGCGGTAAATCCAGAACTTTGCTCTTTGACTCCGCTCCCTCTTCACCACAACAGTGTGACAGTCAATCTCACACTCATCATTTCCTCATTCGTGAACACCCAAAGATACTTGAACTCTTTTCTCTCTTGAGAAAGCACCTCTGCAGCTCCAGGAGAGGACCAGACCCTTTCGTATCATTATAGGTTTGTGTCCGATTCAACCTGACATGCTGCTTTGCCTCAACACAATGTAGCTTAAACATCATTAATCAATTACAGATGTTTTGTGACCTGTGTTCATTCATTTGTTTAAGGAGTGATCTATTGTAAACTGTTTCCAAAATAGTAACAACCTCAAAGGTGCAGTTAAATCCCCTGCTCTGTTCTTATATGAAATCACAGATGACATTATGTTCACTGCTTCATATCCTTTTCCCTGGTTCCTGTAAAACGCCTCCTCCTGCGATGGACAGACTCAGCTTTGGCGGGGACACTTTGTTCTGTTTGGTGTGATAAGAGGATGAAGTCTGCCGTCAGAGCACCACTTGATAACAGACAGAGGAGCAGAGTGTTGAGGAAACATTTGTCAAGAGCCAGTACAGAGCGCTGCACAGAGCGACCCCGTCCTCGCGTCAGCCACAAAACGCTCATCAAAGTCCAGAGCGCCGGGCGGGTGACTGCGCCTGCTGTTCTCCGACCAGCTGACTGCACTTCTGACAGAACCATGCTTCCTTTGAGGAGCTATACCTTCCCGTCTGGCTCCTGACAAATTAAACTTGTGCTTTCGAAGTGGGTTGATAAGCTTCTCTCTCGCCTTCGTCTTCTCTCCACTCGGTTGGCCCAGCGCATTTTGCAGACTCAGAATCCCTCGGCAAAACTTTAGGATGTACAACGGCCCGAGTCGGAGACAATACGAGACAATAGGTGTGTGCAGTGTTGTCAAAAGCAGCTACAAGACGCTATCAGAGCGAGCAGACAACACCGGCCCATTGTCTGGGTCTAATTGTGCTTGGGTCTCCAACTTTTTTCCCACGGAGAGCTACTCTTTTAGGACAAAAAAGGCAGAGAGCTACTTCTTTAGGCGGTTCAAAAGTAATGTAGTCGTTAGTGTAGAACGGTATAGAATGGAATGGGATCGTTTTATAAAGAGTTAACTGTAAACCTATTATTTTGGGATTTTTAATGTCGGTTAGCAGCTTGACTGGCCTTCTGTTTTCAAGATGATTAAGGGGAAGTCTGTTACAGAATTGACGTACAGAAGAAAGGGCTGGGATTATATATTAAGTGTATATTTCCCCCCACCCCTTTTCAGACGGACTTTCTTTGCCTCATTCTGGGAAGATGAGATCACACAGTACATGTTTGTTTGTTTGTTTTATGTACTTCATTTTTCTTTTATTAAGCTGCCTTTATTATATTTGTTCTATCACTGTCTGGATAAATAAATACATAATAAAGATTTAAGATTCAATTATTAGTCACTGTCACAAAAACAATGAAATAACATGTATAGCATCATTGTGATAAGAGCGTGTAAAGTGTGGCATGTAAACACCACCTGTTTATACATTGTTAATGACAATTTCTAAATTTAACATGTATAACAGTGTAGGCATAACAAACTAAATCCTTAGGGGAGCTACTTGGAAAAGGGTGGCGAGCTACTGGGAGCTCCCAAGCCACAGGTTGGAGACCCCTGCTCTAGAACCTCGCTGTACAGTCTGACAGCAGCAGGAAGGAAAGACGTGCGTAACCTCTCCTTCACACAGCGAGGGTGTATAAGTCTGTCACTGAAGCTGCTCAGTCATAATACAAACATCTATCTTCAAACAGATATAATCTTTGACTAGAAAAACCCAAAACCGTGGATCTCGTTGACCCGGCGTCTGCCCTTAAGCGTCATCAGTCCCTGTGATGCGTTGCCCGCGGTTACGCCTCATATCTGTGTAACTTCAGATAAATGATGGCGCCCGGAGGTCCCCGAGGGCTGAGCCGGAGTCGCTGTGTTCTTCGGTGCATTGTCAAACCAACACGTTTAAAGTCCTGGATCTGCCTGTCATGTCGGAGCCTCTGATCCTTCCCTTTTCACCGCAGACTAACACTGTGTCAGTCACAGAGCGCCGCGTGTGCAATACTACTCTGTGCCCGAGATTGCATAATAATTACACGGAAGGCGTTAGTTCTGAGGCCAATCCATCACTCAACAGCATCAGGCTTTTATCTGAATTACAACCCACTGTAAAAATACCTACAGTTCTTCTGGAGATGTAATTGTTTATTTTTCATATCATTTTTAATATTTTACCATTCTGTTTATCCTGAGTTAACAGTAATGCTAGGTGGCTGAGTGGTTAGCATTCTCGCTTCTCAGCAAGAAGTTTCTGGGTTTTAATCCCAGTAGGAACAGGGCCTTTCTGAGTGTACTTTGCATGTTCTCCCTGTGTCTGCGTAGGTTTCTTCTGGCTGCTCCGGTTTCCCCTACCACTGAAAACATGTACAATAGTCTGAGTTTGGTCGCTTTGAGGAGACCTCAGTAAATAGACCTATCCAAAGAGACCTCAGTACATAGACCTATCCAAAGAGACCTCAGTACATAGACCTATCCTAAGAGACCTCAGTAAATAGACCTATCCAAAGAGACCTCAGTACATAGACCTATCCAAGAGACCTCAGTACATAGACCTATCCAAAGAGACCTCAGTACATAGACCTATCCAAGAGACCTCAGTACATAGACCTATCCAAAGAGACCTCAGTACATAGAACTATCCTAAGAGACCTCAGTAAATAGACCTATCCAAAGAGACCTCAGTACATAGACCTATCCAAGAGACCTCAGTACATAGACCTATCCAAAGAGACCTCAGTACATAGACCTATCCAAAGAGACCTCAGTACATAGACCTATCCAAGAGACCTCAGTACATAGACCTATCCAAAGAGACCTCAGTACATAGACCTATCCAAGAGACCTCAGTACATAGACCTATCCAAAGAGACCTCAGTACATAGAACTATCCAAGAAACCTCAGTACATAGACCTATCCAAAGAGACCTCAGTAAATAGACCTATCCAAAGAGACCTCAGTACATAGACCTATCCAAAGAGACCTCAGTACATAGAACTATCCAAGAAACCTCAGTACATAGACCTATCCAAAGAGACCTCAGTAAATAGACCTATCCAAGAGACCTCAGTACATAGACCTATCTAAGAGACCTCAGTACATAGACCTATCCAAGAGACCTCAGTACATAGACCTATCCAAGAGACCTCAGTAAATAGACCTATCCAAAGAGACCTCAGTACATAGACCTATCCAAGAGACCTCAGTAAATAGACCTATCCAAAGAGACCTCAGTAAATAGACCTATCCTAAGAGACCTCAGTACATAGACCTATCCAAAGAGACCTCAGTAAATAGACCTATCCTAAGAGACCTCAGTAAATAGACCTATCCAAGAGACCTCAGTACATAGACCTATCCAAGAGACTTCAGTACATAGACCTATCCAAAGAGACCTCAGTACATAGACCTATCCTAAGAGACCTCAGTAAATAGACCTATCCAAAGAGACCTCAGTAAATAGACCTATCCAAAGAGACCTCAGTACATAGACCTATCCAAGAGACCTCAGTACATAGACCTATCCAAGAGACCTCAGTACATAGACCTATCCAAAGAGACCTCAGTACATAGAACTATCCAAGAAACCTCAGTACATAGACCTATCCAAGAGACCTCAGTACATAGACCTATCTAAGAGACCTCAGTACATAGACCTATCCAAGAGACCTCAGTACATAGACCTATCCAAAGAGACCTCAGTACATAGACCTATCCAAGAGACCTCAGTACATAGACCTATCCAAAGAGACCTCAGTAAATAGACCTATCCTAAGAGACCTCAGTAAATAGACCTATCCAAGAGACCTCAGTACATAGACCTATCCAAGAGACCTCAGTACATAGACCTATCCAAAGAGACCTCAGTACATAGACCTATCCTAAGAGACCTCAGTAAATAGACTTATCCAAGAGACCTCAGTACATAGACCTATCCAAGAGACCTCACTACATAGACCTATCCTAAGAGACCTCAGTACATAGACCTATCCAAGAGACCTCAGTACATAGACCTATCCAAAGAGACCTCAGTACATAGACCTATCCTAAGAGACCTCAGTACATAGACCTATCCAAGAGACCTCAGTACATAGACCTATCCAAAGAGACCTCAGTAAATAGACCTATCCAAAGAGACCTCAGTACATAGACCTATCCAAAGAGACCTCAGTACATAGACCTATCCAAGAGACCTCAGTACATAGACCTATCCAAAGAGACCTCAGTAAATAGACCTATCCAAAGAGACCTCAGTACATAGACCTATCCAAAGAGACCTCAGTACATAGACCTATCCAAGAGACCTCAGTAAATAGACCTATCCAAAGAGACCTCAGTAAATAGACCTATCCTAAGAGACCTCAGTAAATAGACCTATCCAAGACACCTCAGTAAATAGACCTATCCAAAGAGACCTCAGTACATAGACCTATCCAAAGAGACCTCAGTACATAGACCTATCCTAAGAGACCTCAGTAAATAGACCTATCCAAGAGACCTCAGTAAAGACCTATCCAAAGAGACCTCAGTACATAGACCTATCCAAAGAGACCTCAGTACATAGACCTATCCAAAGAGACCTCAGTACATAGACCTATCCAAAGACACCTCAGTACATAGACCTATCCAAAGAGACCTCAGTACATAGACCTATCCAAAGAGACCTCAGTACATAGACCTATCCAAAGAGACCTCAGTACATAGACCTATCCAAAGAGACCTCAGTAAACACAGGATTAGTTCATTGTGATTGTGATGAAAACCTTCAGTGAATAACGTGTAAACTCCAAAACGTCCAGAACCATGAAGTCTCTCAGATCCAGGACCATGTGCTCAGCTCGGTGCAATCAGCCGATCAATCAAAAACCATTCCGTCCCCGGGCCCTTTAAGAGGAGCCGCAGTAGCTTTTTAAAAAACTACGTTATGTTCTGTTGGATTTATGGCAGGTTTTCAGTTTTCTCGTATCGTGCGTTTCAAATGTGAGCGCCTCGAGCAGAGATCGTCCAAACACAGTTTCTATAATTATTCACTCGTTTTTAGTGTCTCTGAATTTCTCCGCCGTGAGATCAATAAAGTCTATGTCTAGTGCATAGGTGTCCAAGTCGAGGCCCGCGGGCTAAATCCGGCCCAAGACGAATGAATCATCTTGGTTTTTACGGGTTGATATTGGACTTTAAAATCAACTTTTATTTGTAGAGCGCCTTTCCAATCTAGTGCCCATAGCTGTCAAAGTCGAGGCCCGCGGGCTAAATCTGGCCCCCAAATGAATGATCATGGCCCCGGGATGATATTGGGTCAGTATTAGAACCAGTCGCTCAAAGACTTGGTTGTGTCCTTAGGCAAGACACTTCCCCCACATTAGAATGAGTCTGGTGTGTGTGTGAATGGTTGGTGGTGGTGGGAGGGGCCAATGGCACAGACTGGTTGCCTCGCTTCTGTCAGTGTGCCCCAGGGCAGCTGTGGCTACAGTAGTTTATCACCACCGTGTTTGGAGAGAGAGGATAATAATGTGAAGAGACTTTGAGAGTCTGAAAAAGCTCTAAATAAAACAGATTTATTATTATTATTCATTTAATGTTCAGGACGAGCCACAAAAACATTGGATTCTTCATTTAATCATTGAATAACCACGGCCCACTGCGTCAGGTCTTGGTTTCTCTGTAATCTGCTTCATCTTTGGACCAGTCCGGCCTCGGCTCGTGGCGTCTCTGACTCTGACGTCTCTGATCCACTGTTCGCACCAGTTTGAGGAATATTCCCGTCACAGCTTTTTGACAAGTGGCTCCGTGGACGTCCTGTGGAACACTGTACCTGCCTCTGTCAGACTTTCACTTGTACCTCCTCACCTCCCCCTCTCTCTCTCTCTCTCCCTCCCACTCCCTCTCTCTCTCTCTCTCCCTCCCACTCCCTCTCGCTCTCTCTCCCTCCCTCTCCCTCTCTCTCTCTCTCCCTCCCTCTCTCTCTCTCTCTCTCTCTCTCTCTCTCTCTCTCTCTCTCTCTCCCTCCCACTCCCTCTCTCTCTCTCTCTCCCTCTCTCTCTCTCTCCCTCCCACTCCCTCTCTCTCTCTCTCTCCCTCTCTCTCTCTCTCCCTCCCTCTCTCTCTCTCTCCCTCCCTCTCCCTCTCTCTCTCTCTCCCTCTCTCTCCCTCTCTCTCTCTCTCTCTCTCCCACTCCTTATCTCCCCCTCTCTCTCTCTCTCTCTCCCCCACTCCCTCGCTCTCTCTCTCTCTCTCTCTCTCTCTCTCTCTCTCTCTCTCTCTCTCTCTCTCTCTCTCTCTCTCCCCCCCCACTCTCTCTCTCTCTCTCTCCCCCACTCTCTCTCTCTCTCTCTCTCTCGCATAGTAATGCTCTCAGAAATTACAGTGAGGTAAACAGTGAAGGTGTGGAGATGAAAACGCAGCTCTGGTCCTGTCGGCTTCAGCACGAGGCCCATCCGTCAGAAGAAACGACGTCGCAGCCTCCCCTTCCCCGGCTTCAGACGCCGCAGCCTCCCCTTCCCCGGCTTCAGACGGCGCTGCCTCCCCTTCCCCGGCTTCAGACGGCGCTGCCTCCCCTTCCCCGGCTTCAGACGCCGCAGCCTCCCCTTCCCCGGCTTCAGACGCCGCAGCCTCCCCTTCCCCGGCTTCAGACGCCGCTGCCTCCCCTTCCCCGGCTTCAGACGCCGCAGCCTCCCCTTCCCCGGCTTCAGACGCCGCTGCCTCCCCTTCCCCGGCTTCAGACGCCGCAGCCTCCCCTTCCCCGGCTTCAGACGCCGCTGCCTCCCCTTCCCCGGCTTCAGACGCCGCTGCCTCCCCTTCCCCTTCCCCGGCTTCAGACGCCGCAGCCTCCCCTTCCCCTTCCCCGGCTTCAGACGCCGCTGCCTCCCCTTCCCCGGCTTCAGACGCCGCTGCCTCCCCTTCCCCGGCTTCAGACGCCGCTGCCTCCCCTTCCCCGGCTTCAGACTTGTCAGCCACGCTGCTGGGTTTCTCCTGTCCTTCCGGTGACAAGGAGAAGAAATAATCTGTTCAAAGCCCGGTGCTGCTGCGAGCGGCTGCATTGACCTTGTTCCAGCGTGGTCAGCGCTGAGAGAAGAAGTCACGGCTCAGACACAATAACAGTTTATTATTATAACAAAATAACATTCTTTGGACGTTGGTGCTTGGGTCCGGCTCGTTCGTCTCTTTATATTCAAGTACTGCTCCTTCACTTTCTCAAAACCAAATTATTGAGTCGTTATTGAAGGTTGATGTTTATCCAATCACAGTGACTCTGGCAGCGGCGACACTTAAAGCTGGGGTACTTTTTTCATACACATTTTACACAATAACACATTTTATTTGTTCCACATGCATTTTAATGGCAGCTTTTATTAGAACATTTTTCTAATATTGTGCATTGGCTACTTTAAATGTTCTGGATGAAAAGGCTGAAGTGTAAGTGATAGAACTACAGTATTTTGAGAATAAGGAACTAGTTTGATGGATTTTATTCTGAATGGAGCTAAATAAAAAACCAAGAGAGGCCACAAAAGTAGACATTGATTATTCAGTGCTGCACTCATGGAAACACTTTGGAAAATATGCTGCATAAAAACATACATGTAGGAGAAAAGTAGAATCAATTATTCAATCCACATCATTTTGGGGGTAAAATAATAATAATAATGCATTGGTTTTATACAGCACTTTTCAGGACGCTCAAAGTCTCTTCACATCAGTATCCTCTCTCTCCAAACACGGTGGTGATAAACTACTGTAGCCACAGCTGCCCTGGGGCACACTGACAGAAGCGAGGCAACCAGTCTGTGCCATCAGCCCCTCCCACCACCACCAACCACTCACACACACACCAGACTCATTCTAATGTGGGGGAAGTGTCTTGCCTAAGGACACAACCACAGTTTGGCACTTTACAGCCGCAGCCGCCCCACTGTGGCACCTGCTGTTCCCAGAGGTCTCCCATCACAGCACTGACCAGGCCCTGCCCTGCTTAGCTTCAGAGGTCTGACAGTATCTGGCTTTCACCTGCAGCTATAGCCACATACAGTATGAACCTGAATATTCCCAGGTTCCATCTCAGCTCTGGCTCCGCTCCCGAAGCAGAAAGATGACATTTAAATCAAATGAGAAGTGGCTGAACTCGCCGTATCGCCCTCGCGTCTCTTCGCCCCCGTTCCCGCTAGCCCTCCGCAACCTTCTTCTCCGAGTATTTAGGGCTTTGTGGTGTGTACCGTCATCAAAGCGAAACCCCGAGTGAAGCCTCGCCGCACACTACCCATAATTCCCCGGCAAATGAAGACGCCCCATTCACCCACGCTCGCACATTAGCCTCCTCGCTCCTCTCAGATGCGCCATGCGGAAAAAAAAGCGCTTTCATAGAGTCTGGCGTAAATTCGTAGGCTTAGCCCCGTGAGTGAATGAGTCAGTCGGCGGCGCTTTGATCCGACCTCCTGTCTTGCGTCGGGAGAAGCCTATTTGACATAATCCTGAAAAACACGGCCTCTCCGCACTTCCATTGAAACTCAAAGGGAGTCGCAGCTGCCTCGGCTCCAAAGGGACTTAGCCGCGACTGACACGTGTATAGTCGATTTCTACCGGCAGATTTAATTAAGCTTCATTCACTTCCAAATCCTGTGTTATACAAACTCGACTGAGCGTTCTCAATGGAGCAACAACAGACCCACATTCCCCACTCTGCAGGTACTGGGTCGTGTAGCCGCTAATGCTAATCTGTGCGTGTATATAAGACCGTATGCATAGGATATTTGTGTTTTAATATTTTACTGTGATATGTCAATAAACAACCATTCTGTGAGTTTGGAAAGGATTAAGCTCCCAGAGATTTTAGCTTCTGAGAGTAATACCATCACACTTTCAGAAGGAACGTCAGGGATTACAACAAACATGTGTTATATGTACATTTTCAGAATTACTACCATCACCATAGACTATAATGGAGCTAACCAAGTGCTAATGTCGCTCATGGTGTTTGCCGACTGTGGAAGAAGCTACATCTGATCTTTAGCTAGTTCTGGTTCTATGTATTGTCCGATGAAATGGTTTTGCAGCAAACGATCATCTAAAAACAGGCAGACACAAGAACAAGAGAGGATGTCACAAAGCTAATCTTTAGTGCAAAGTGCAAATGTTTTTTACAAAGTGCTTTGTGCTGTTAAGGTGCTTCACAGCTGTTGGGATAAATGTAGGTCTCAACCTTTTTGTCCTGTACCCAAGAGCCCTATAGCGGCGTCCTGAGGGTTAAAGGTTACACTGGTTAGCTGTAATTTCCCTTTTACGAGCATACTGCCGACGTAGCTGCTAACGTTTTGCTAACATGGTTAAGCTAGAAATACTTATTGGTCAATCCCTATGGCTCATATCTGGATTTACAAAGACAATATCAAAATAAAAAGCAGGATCAAGAGGCCTAAACCAGGTTTCTTTTAAGCTCAAAATGCAAAGTGAGACAAAAGAAGTCAGAGCGTATTGGAGCAAAACTTCGTCCATGAGCCCATCCCCATCGGGCTACTGTTTCTGTCCATCTACACAGTATATACATCACATGATACAGGTTTGATAATTGTGAATATAGACTCTGTGACAGTCATCTCACATTCAGATATACTTTTCATGTCTAAAACCACACAGTCGTTGCACTGTATTCTAAGGTAATGATCTTCCTGAAAATGTGAGACGTGCTACAACTGAGAGTTTTAATATTTGTATCTTTCTTTTTAATGTGCTGTGATAATTTGCTAAGTGCCCAATGAGCAAATGTCCAGAAACAGAACTGTCTGAGGAAAGGCCTCTGTCTCTGTTGGGATCTGAACCGAACACCACCCGATCGTGAACCATCGTCTCCGTCCTCCTGAATGGTTAACGGACAAAGTGCCGGAGTTTTGCTGCTTTTAGAAGCTTTTAGAAGCAAGGCGGCGGCGGCGGCGGCGGCGGCGGCGGCGGCGCTCTGAGCACAGCCTTTAATCAGATCAGTCCTGTCAGATCAGACTAATTAATCAGAGCAGGGACTGGCTCTCCTCTGGCAGACCGAGAGAGAGCAGGAGTCACGTCCACCTCCACCACCTCCTCCTCCTCCACCACCTCCTTCACCTCCTCCTCCTCCACCACCTCCTTCACCTCCACCTCCACCACCTCCTTCACCTCTGCCACCTCCTCCACCTCTGCCACCTCCTCCACCTCTGCCGCCTCCTCCAACTCCACCACCACTTCCTCCACCACCTCTTCCGCCTCTTCCTCCACCACCTCTTCCGCCTCTTTCACTTCGACCGCCACCTCTTCCAACTCCTCCACCTCCACCACCACTTCCTCCACCACCTCTTCCGCCTCTTTCACTTCGACCGCCACCTCTTCCAACTCCTCCACCTCCACCACCACTTCCTCCACCACCTCTTCCGCCTCTTCCTCACCACCTCTTCCGCCTCTTTCACTTCGACCACCACCTCTTCCGCCTCTTCCACCTCCACCACCACTTCCTCCACCACCTCTTCCGCCTCTTCCTCCACCACCTCTTCCGCCTCTTCCTCCACCACCTCTTCCGCCTCTTTCACTTTGACCGCCACCTCCTCCAACTCCTCGACCTCCATCACCACCTCCTCCACAACCTTTCGCCTCTTCCACTACTTCCACCTCCACCACCTCTGCCTTCCACATCCACTCTCAACAACAACAAGCCCAGAGACATGAGACGGAGAGAGTAGATCTGCCCCTGACAAAACACAGTCTATAAAAGAGATTAAAGACGGTGTTAACATGAAATTCAGCGTCTCCCAAAGCCCTGGGACTGAGACTCAGACTGACTCGATCTGTGCTGTGCACTGAAAAACTAAAACCGTGCTGAGGTTTGACTAAAAAAAACATGATGCATATTTTTAGTGGCCAGTTTTTTGTTGCTTGAATGTGGTTTATCCTGAGATTATTTGACTAGTTTTAAGATAATTATTTTTCTTTTTTAGATAAAATAAGTTTGTGATGCTGTATTTTAAGAAAGCATTTCTCAATTTTTTCAGAAACAAGTAAGTAATACTTGAAATGTATGTTTTTACTAGAATGTCTAGAAAGTCATTTGGGGCTAGTACTATTTTATTTTTTTAGAAATCTTGTCAAGTCATATTGTCTTGTTCTATTGACTTTTAAGCAGCATTTTACTTATTTATATATATATATATATATATATTTTTTGTCAAGGGATTTTTTCCAGTGTAGTCATCTCTGCAGAGTGAGACCATCTCCAAGTCGCGGCTCAGACTTGTTATGGGTTTGAGGTGATTGAAATTTGGGTTAAAAGGGTTCGAACCAGAAAGTGGCGTTAAACATCAATCAGAGAACACACTACGGCCGTTTCAGTGGTTATTTGGCCGTTAGGAGCTCTGTGAAAGCAGAAAGAGTGGGCTGCGATCTCACTAAAGCAGTTGGATGTTGATGATTATAGACTGAGGGACCTTTTCATAACAAGACACTTTGTTTGTCCAGAAATCCATAAAGTCTTGTAAAAGTAAAACTCCGGACGACTCAGATCACTCCGTGTCGTCTGAATCTAATTAAAAACATCGTACCTGTTGTAGCCCTGTGACAAACAACCCTGTGAGTCAGAATGTGAAGCTTTGGGCTGAGAGACCAGTGGCTGTTTCTCTATTTTTTTTCAATTTTCTGTCTGCAAAAGCTGATCTACAGATGTGACGGAGACTCCAAAAACATGTGAAAATCAGAATGAGGAATTAGATGGATGTCGTCCCCTGTGGCTGCAGGCGGCTCTCTGCTCCTGGTGCAGATGGCTCCTTAGATGGCGCTTCTTCAGCCGGTTACATCTGCACACAGCCATATATATCTTTTCATGGTTTTACCTATTTTACCCATCTGATGTGACTGTGTATATATGCGTGTGTGTGTGTATGCATCTCTGTGTGTGTACGTGTGCACTTGTTTTCAACTCCTGGTGGGTTCCATAACCTGAGATTCCACTCACGTCATGGGGACTGGTTTTACGTGGTGGGGCCCGAACACCGGACCCCACTGGTCCAAGCTTAATAATCAATGGGTAATGCTTTTCTAACGGTCCTTATGCAGTCTCTGTAAAAATATGGAAAGGACCCCTGGAGGTTTACTTTCCTGAAAAAAGTGTGTTATGTGTCGGAACCCTGGTGGTGGGTTGCGGGATATCAGGGAGGGGCACACTGGGGCAATTTCAGTCCAGCAGGCTGGAGCCAATCATGGAGCAGCACAACAGAGGAAGTCAGGTGAAAAGGTGCAAGTGTGTGGTTCATTAGGCTGCAAGAAATCATGGAGGAGCACACTGAAGCGCACGCTTACAAACCACTGGTAAGTGCTGACTACAAGTCATGACTTCAAATTGTTATATAGAATGATTACAAATTATTTGTTGTTTGTGCAGCTTAGTCAAGAGTCCCTAATTGATGAAGTCGACTCAGATTCTGACGATTTAACTGTCAAGAAGAAACCTGTAAAAAAGTATGGAAAAAGAAAAATCAAAAACACTTTTCTTCAAGACTCGGAAAGTGACGAACCAAAGGCAAATAAGATTGTTATCATGCAGCTGCAAAAGAAGAAAAATGGGGGGCGAGTATACAGCAAGAGACACTTCTGCCTCTACTGTTCAATGTCCTGCCACAAAATGTCCCGTCATTTGACTAGAAAACATGGAAATGAAAGTGACGTAGCCAGAGCATTGGCTCTACCTGTGAAATCTAAAGCACGTAAACTTCAGTTTGATTTGATCAGGAATAGTGGAAACCGTGAGCACAATTTTGAGGTTTTAAAGGCCGGCATTGGAATTTTAGTCCCAGCTAAACAGCCAAATTCCCCAGTTAAATCCAGTGAGTTTTTGCACTGTATAGACTGTGGGGCATTGCTTAAGCGAAAGTCGCTGTGGAGGCATGTGGCCAGGTGCCGGCTTTCACAGAAAGATGCCCAGGCTAAACCAGGTAGAAGTAGGGTCCAGTCCCTCTGCTCCCTAGCCCAGCCTGTACCGGAGGGCATCAGCAAAAAGCTGTGGTCTTTAATTTCGGCAATGCATCAGGATGAGGTCACGGGTGTTGTCAAAGCAGAAAAGGGGATTCTGAGACTCGGAGAGCACCTGTACTTAAAACACGGGCATGATAAGACTAAGCATGATTACATTAGGCAGAAAATGAGAGAAGTCGGTAGGTTAATTAACGAAGCAAAAACCGCAGGGAAACTGAAAACAATTAAGGATTTCTTTATTCCTTCCAACTTTAACCATGTGATTGATGCAGTCAGGTCTGTGGCTGGATATGATGAGGAAACAAATCAATACAAGACTCCATCCTTGGCCCTCAAACTCGGCCATAGCCTCAGAAAGCTAGCAGATATTCTTGAATGTGACTCAAAAATGGAGCATTGTGTTGATGAACTATTTATTAAAAACCTCCAACGAAGCCGGCTGCTTTTTGAGAAGAGGTGGGACGTCTGTGTTTCTTCTGCTGCCCTACAGACCCTCCGGCAAGCCAAGTGGAACACTCCGGACCTGCTCCCTCTGACTGAGGACGTTAGAGCCATGCATGCACATATTGAGGTATGTCGACCTGAATATGTGCAAACCCTAATAAGTGAGCCAACGTCTAAGCATTGGTCTAAACTGGCAGTTTTGACTCTTTGTGAGGTCATCATTTTCAATCGAAGAAGGGAAGGTGAGGTTTCAAAGATGCCACTGACAGCCTTTACCTTAAGAAGTAAGACTGGGATCCATTCTGACATTGCTCTGGGACTGTCCCAACTTGAGAAAAAGCTGTGTCAGCATTTTCAACGCATTGAAATTAAAGGGAAAAGAAGTCGGAAAGTGCCGGTTCTTTTGACTCCTGAAATGATTGCTTCGATGGAGGTGCTGGTGGAGAACAGAAGGGCCTGTTCCATCTCTGACCATAACCCATACTTCTTTTCCCGCCCGGGCGCAGACACCCCACATCAGGGGATCAGACTCCCTACGCCAGGTAGCCAAAGAATGTGGTGCGGTGCATCCAGAGATGCTATCCTCAACCAAACTTAGAAAGCACATAGCTACTATGTCTACAGTTCTCAATATGAAAGAGAATGAGATGGACATACTTGCCAACTTCCTCGGCCATGACATTCGCATCCACAGGCAATATTACAGACTACCAGAGGGGACACTGGAGCTGGCCAAAATCAGCAAAGTGTTGATGGCCATGGAGCAGGGAAGAGTGACGGAATTCGAAGGAAAGAGCCTCGACCAGATACAAATTGAGCCTGAAGGTAATTCTTGATATTATTAAAATATATATGATTTTTTTCCCCTAAAGGCCACTTGTATTTTTATTTTCTGTGCGACAGGGAGAGCAGTAGAGATCCTCTCACAAACGGACGGGCTAAAAGAAACTTCAAGCGGAGAACCTTCAACCATTCATCCAGATGCACCCCATGGTAGTGGCAGTGCCCCTTCTGGTAAGTGTACCAGGTGGGGGATTACAGCCAGGCTGCTTGGTCCTCACCCTGGGAGTGTATATTGCTAATATATTTTTATTTCTCTCCCTAGAACGTTAGAGAAAGCCATGGTCTGCATCTGAGGTGAAGGCTGTGGAGAAGACCATGACACCTTTCATACAGACTGGAAAGGTCCCTGGGAAGTCTCACTGCCTGGCCTGCATTAATGCCTCACCAGATGACCTTAGACATCGGACATGGAGTGGCATTAAATTCTATGTCAAAAATAGAATCACTGCAATTCGAAAACAAAATCTAAAATAAAATTCCTTTAAAATAGTTGTTTGGTTTCTATTGACTGTTTTGTATTACTTAAAGTCTTGGTAAAAAAAGATTATGTCTATGGGTCCCATTCTGAACGGCCCTGTCAAAGGGACCCACCAGGTAACAAAAACGTGTATGTGTGTGTGTGTGTGTGTGTGTATATGCATCTCTGTGTGTACGCATGTGTGTGTGTATACTAATATGTTATACACACTAATATGTGTGCGTCTGTGGGTCATATGGGATTGTTTTTGACTAAACTTTTAAGTAATTGGTGTTGCATTTTCTGTATGATTTGTTATTATTATTTTTCTGGTAACTCTCGTCTCATAACTTCAAGAAGGAAACGCTTTGTCTGAAATGAACCACATCATTCAATTTCACTCACATCTCAATGAAAGCAGCGACCAGTCAGATCTACGCAGAGGCGAGTCCACTCAGTTAGAATGCTTCCATCTCTACTTGCTTTTGTATTGATTCATTGGATATGGACCAGTTTTACACAATCAACCTGTGAAACACTACACCGTTTACATCCATCCATCCATCCATTTTCTTCCCCTTAATCCATTTCTGGGTCGGGGGGGTGGCAGTCAGAGCTGCACCCAGTCACAGAGCACCAGCCCCTCACTGATCCTCCTGCAGGTGGTGAGTCCACAGGAGCTGAGATCTTTCAGTGGGGGCTTCAGGCAAAGTGGGGTTAAGTGTCTTGCCCAAGGACACAACGACAGCAGTCATCAGTGGGAGTCGTGAAGTAGGTCTTACGGTGGGCTCGAACCCACGACCTTCAGGCTCAAAGGCCAATGCTCTACCAACTGAGCCACTGTCGCCCCCGACACCGTTTACAGCCAAGGCTAATTTGCAAAGTCCATCTCTAAGAGGTCAACTTTTTGAGATACATAGTGTTACGGATTATGTACGTCTACGTTATTATGAATTCTGCTTATCAAATTTGATGGAGAAAATAAAAACTGAATGACTTTGGATACGTTGACTTTTATTTCTTGAGGAAAACGGAAAAAACGTCAAGGGTTTCTCAGCTGATGATCCGCAGAAATTTATTTTTTACGCAAAATTGATTTTAAAAAAATATTTCTGTAGCAACAAAACCTGACCTGATTGAGCAAAACCAAGGTCATTTTCGGACTCAGAGCATCAACATTAGTCTCAGCTGAAAACCCTGGACTATTGTCAAAAATATTTTTTTGCTACCCAGTGTTATCAGATAATCAAAAAAAAGGAAAATGTACATTGCTTTTTTCAAGGAGTGAACATTAAAGGGTTAAAATACATATAGTTCAATCCTTTCCAGACAAAAGCAGATGTTTTGTAGCCTGGTCGTACCACACCATAGTACACATTTCATTTCATACTAAGGTCTGGATTGTCTCCATTGACTCCGTTAACAGGTGGGAGGGGCTAACTACTAAAAAAAAAAAAAAAAATGTATGTAATGAGCCAGAGTCTGTTGTTAGCATTTAGCCTAGCCATCTCCTTTGCCACTAACGGAGCCCGTGGGGAGTAGCGCCACAATTGTTTCCAGAGATTACATTTGTTAAACATTCCTCTTGCTCCGGCTTCAGTTTCTTGATAGAACCAGACCAGAATACTTTACTATCGCATTCTTCGCCAAACTACAACCTGTCCGTTCGGCGCAAACTCTTGACATCACCCACAACTAACTACAACACCCGCCTCCCGCGCTCTCTGATTGGTCGGTCGAAATTCAATCGACTGTATTCGCTAACACAGGGACCAGACCCAGACGTTACATGCAGGACATGATGATTGAGCGCAGTGTACGGATGGATAAGACCAGGGTAGATGTTTTGTGCTGTATTTTAAATCAAGAAGTCATTCAAATATGGAGCAGCCTTAAATATAAATTCTGAAAAATGTGTTTTAACCTCAGCTGAAGCAGATTGTTCACTGTATTAGATGGTAATGTCGTTGTTTGTTGTTTTCAGACTGATATTACAGCAGTGTTTTGTGTGTAAAGTGGGAGTGTGCCTGAGGTCGTTGTTTGGACCGATATGAGTTGATGTCTTTATTTGTGGTTGGGTTATTTCCCTGATGTCTGAGTGTTTTTGTGTCCTGTTGGCACTTTAAAGTTTTCAACACCACTGAAAAATAATGTTATTGAGAGAAGTCCTTTTTAATGGCCTTATATTGCTTTAGAGAATGTGAGGTTTGAACTGATACAGAGTCTGATCTGAACTGATGGGAATACTGCGTTTTAGTTCAAGTGGGAGTGATGGTGGCAGTAGCAGTAGTAGAGGTAGCAGTAGTAGTAGTAGCAGTAGTAGTAGTAGTAGAAGCAGAGGTAGTACTAGTAGTAGTAGTAGCAGTAGCATTGATCCTGTCAGACCGTAGAAGCTAACCAGGGCAGGGCCTGGATAGCCTGGCAGTGTGTCTTTTGGCAAGGCACTTCACCAACATTGCCTGGTATGAGTCTGGTGTGTGTCTCCATGGTGATGGTCGGAGGGGTCGATGGCAGATACTGGTTGCCTCGCCTCTGCCACTGTGCCCCAGGGCAGTTGTAGCTGAAGTAGTAACTTATCCCTCCTGTGTATGAATGACTGAAGGATCTTTGAGCATCACATATAGTAGTAGTAGCCACAGCATGATGTAGTAGTAGTAGTAGTACCGTCTAAATCACAGGTGTCAAAGTCAAGGCCCGGGGGCCAGATCCGGCCCGCGAGACCATTTCCAGTGGCCCCTGAGATGATTTTAAATTATTATATTAAATAGCAGCATTTTGAACAAAACTCTCTGGTCTTATTTGACGACCACGAATCACCAGAATAATTGACAGTTGGGAGGACCAATAGTCTGATGATCCACCCGGAAGTAGAAAATCTTCACATTAACCTTCAATATTTGGTCCAGTTTTGGTCCAGTCCACAGGAACTGAACTAAATCTATTCAAAAAAGAATATCCAGTCTAACTAATGTGAAACAAGTCATTTATATAGATACCTTCATATTATAAAAATGAAACCCACTTCTTTCGGCCCCTGAACGGCCCTTTAATTTTTTTTTCGGCCCTCAACCAAAATAAGTTTGACACCCCTGGTCTAAATGGTGATGGTCGGAGGGGCCTAGCTACTACTACATGTGCCGCAGTATCTAGTAGTAGTGGTAGCAGTAGCAGTAGCAGGTAGAGGTACAGCTGGTATTAAAATGACATCACTGAAAGTACAGTGTATAGAAGTTGGGAGAGAAGATGCACAAACACGGTGTTATTTCCCCAGGCTTTTCCAGATGAAGTAAAATTTCTTCTGATCTCGTCACTAAGTAGCTCCCTGATGGTTGGTGCAGAGGTTTGATGGTAGCTCCAGATGTTGTGGAGTGAATCACGTTGGGCCTGGTTCCTCCTCCGGCTGTGGCTGACACCAGCTGTGGCTGACACCAGATGTGGATGACACCAGCTGTGCGGCTCCTCGCTCGCAGCAGCCTCTGGGCACCACACACAGAACCACTGTCGAACAATCTCCGCTACAGCACTTCTCCTGTTTAGTATGTTTAAACACACTACACTGCTTTAAAAGGCACACCGCCGCCGGGGATGGAGGGGAAGCAGAATCCTAACGGCGTGACCTGCGCTGGTAAACCATCGTCTGTTTTCATGCACTTAACTAAATGAAGAAGTCGGAGAGGAATGAGACTTGGTCCATGTTGGAACTGGCTTCACCGAGAGTTTCTCTGCAGAAGAATGTGACGTAAACAAAGACAATAGTTTCAACAAAAAGAGAAACAGTCTTTTATTAGAAAACATTCAAATATTGTGTTTAACATAATTTAGAGTTATTCAAGTCAGACTTTTGTGTGTGTGTTACTGTGTATGTGTGTGTGTGTGTGTGTGTGTGGTGTTACTGTGTGTGTGTGGTGTTTCTGTGTATTTGTCCATTGTACATTCATTGTGTGTAAGTATTAAAGTATATAGACCACAGGAAGATTAGCGACTGTATATTTCAGCAGCTGATCTAAATGAAAACAAACAAACTTAAGCTTATAAACCATATTCATTGTTTCATTAATATTTAAAATGTAAATATTTAGACCTGGGGTTGACCACGCTGGTCCACGCTGGTCCACATTGGTCCACGCTGGTTTCATGTAATTTTCTTGATGTCTCTGTTTGTGAGTGATTAAACGTACGTCCTTCTTTCACCGTTCCATTGTTTAAGTTTAAAAAGTCTGATCCTGTGGTCAGTTGGTTTGTTCAGTCATGTAAAAGGAACAAGTTGTGTTTGGATTTGTCAGTTCCAAATCTCGTGCTGGTTTTGAAAATAATGTTTTCTTTGTTAATATAGACAATAGATTTCCAATGCTCCTAATTGGTAATAATGTTATCAAAGCCTCTGTTACATCGGTCTGAACGCCTTGACGAGTGCGATCCATGTGAAAAAACGACCATATTACACAATGACATCCACGTCTGATTTATTGAAATGTCGTTAAGCCCATGTTAGCGGCTAACTGTTTATCAATACACATTATTCACCGTGTTCGTGTCTTTGTCTTTCACAGCAACAGGAGCAGGACCCCACCAACCTGTACATCTCCAACCTGCCCGTGTCCATGGACGAGCAGGAGCTGGAGAACATGCTGAAGCCTCTGGGTCATGTGATCTCCACACGGATACTGCGGGACGCCAACGGGGTCAGCAGAGGGGTCGGCTTCGCAAGGTGGGATTTAATTACATAAATATACGCATTGTTATTATATAAACTGTTTAAAGCAGCAGAATGTAAACATGTGGCCAAAAGTGGTACTGCAGCCTGTCCCACTCTCCCTGACTCAGGTTGCCAGATATGCAGATGAATCCAGCTGGGACCATAACAGCTGAATAGACAAGAGTTTAGTCAACAACAAATCTATAACCAACACCTTTTTCACAAAGATAGAAATCCTGGTTTTATTCCTTGTTTTGTCGTTAATGATTTGATAATCATAACGAGACCTTTTTTCGTTCTGCGCCACATGGTACTTTACCAGTGAGATTAGCTCCACATGGTACTTTACCAGTGAGATTAGCTGGTGCTACTGTGTACTGAGAGCAGCTCTGACTGCCACCCCCCTGACCCAGAAATGGATTAAGGGGAAGAAAATGGATGGATGGTCAGTTTCAGTGCATGTCACAAGGTAATTATCGATCACTCCATACACAATGGTGATAAGCAACTTCTGTAGCCACAGCTGCCCTGGGGCAAACTGACAAGCACGTTAACCAGTGTGTGCCATCGGCCCCTCCCACCAACACCAGACTCATTCTAATGTGGGGGAAGTGTCTTGCCTAAGGACACACCAACAGAGGTCTCCCATCATAGTACCAACCAGGACAAGCCTGCTTAGCTTCAACCAGCCGTGTAAACATAAGTTACTTTATGGTGGCAAAACTATTTCCTTCTTTGACTTTCTCACAATACAAATAATTCCTAGTTTAGCTCAGAAAACCTGAAAACTTAAAAACTCCATTATCGGTGCGTCCCCAAAAGTCTTCCCCCTCCATAGGTTCATTTGCGGATGGGATGCGCTCTCGATGGCCGCTCCAACATGGCCGCTCGCCTCCTCGGACACAGGCAATTACCCAGTACAGTAATCCGCCTCGGGTTCGTTCCCGCCGCTGAGCATATCACTTAGCACTTTATTTCTTTCTCAACTTAGAAAAGTTTCCACTCCATCTTGTTAATCCCCCAAGTCATATATTCACTCCGTCCCTGTCCTCGGCTGCAGTCACCGTGTTTAGGCGCCGCTCTCTGCCACAGGAGCCTCCAACCTCCGTCTGTGGGTCTATAACTTCACTGGAAACATACCTGGTCCCACCTGGTCCCACCTGGTCCAGCCGCCATGATGGATCGGGAGTGTGAGGCAGAAGTCATTATAAAGGTTATCGCAGAGAACAAGTAAAAATGCAAATGTGACAATGAGGTGGAAATGGTTTGAAATGAGCTGTGATAAATGTGAATATGTGAAATACTGCTTAAAATAAAAACATATGAAAATGGAACAAGGAAATGTGACTTAAGATTTCTGAAAATTAACTTTTAAAAACAGACTTTTTCAAGTATTATTTACTTTTTCCTTAAACATTTTTGAGAAATGTTTTTTAAAATACAGCATCACAAACTTATTGGATCTAAACAAGAAAAGTCTGGAAATAAGAAAAAATATTAGAAACAAGCTTAAAAACTCACTGCTCAGACTTTTTTCTGTAAAATTATGAAGTTTTATTATCTTAAATCTAGTAAAATAATAATAAAATAATGACAAACTATCAAGCAACAAATGTTATTTTTATTCACTCATTTTCAACCCTTTGTCAGTCCGTTTCTGGGTCGGGGTGTGACAAGGAAATATATTGATATAATTTATTTATTGTTTGACATTCATTTGAAATTCACTGATTGTCATTTTTTTACAGACTGAAAGAGTGAGGCTCAGGTTTAACTGAACCAATTTCACTTTTTCTGTGTATATTTAGTAGAATTTCATAACTAGCACTAGTTTTATTTTGTAGAATTCTGCTCCAACTTCGCACTGATGAGAGTTTTAGATTTAAAAACACCCGAGAGTTTCCCGGTGGTGATGGGCCTGGGTCGGGACAGACGGAGGAACGGGCAGCTGTGGCGGGGGGGTGGTTGGGGGTGTTGAGGGGGGGAGTGGGGGGGGGGGGCATAGGGGACATTAGAGAGAGTAAACCGAGCTAAGTGTTTGTGGGCCCATCCATTACTGTTATCAGAGCCCATTACTCCAGAACCAGCACTAATCACAGCAGACAGCAGCACCTGATGCCATTAGGCAGCACCGGGCACCCAGAGAGAGAGAGAGGGGGAGGAAGAGGGGGAGGAAGAGGGAGAGAGGGGGGGAGGGAGGGAGAGAGAGAGAGAGAGAGAGAGAGAGGGAGAGAGGGGGGAGGGAGAGAGAGAGAGAGGGAGGGAGACGGGGAAGCCGAATGCATTCTCCTCCTGGAAAAAAGTGTCTTGTTGATGTTTTGTTGTGGTTGTGTCCTTAGGCAAGACACTTCCCCCACATTGGAATGAGTCTGGTGTGTGTGTGAATGGTTGGTGGTGGTGGGAGGGGCCAATGGCACAGACTGGTTGCCTCGCTTCTGTCAGTGTGCCCCAGGGCAGCTGTGGCTACAGTAGTGGAGTGTGTAAAAACCAATGCACTATTATTATTTTTATTATTATTTTGTAAGTCTTTGCTCCACCTTTTTATTAGTGATTAATAAATAAACTGAACATTCCCATCACAAAATAGAAGGTGTTTGGTTCGTGACGTCTTCTTCATGAACTGTTTCCAGTTTCATTACAGATGTAGCACACTTTGGAGCGGACTGATTGTTATGTGTTTATTTCGTAGCCGACAGATACTTTAGGTTAGAAATGCTTTTCAGAGACGTGTAGCGCAGCATCACTCAGAGGCAGAAGGATTTATGGTCCGTGTTTGACAACGACAGCCATCACATCCCCCTCACAAGTCTTTATTCTGATTGTACAACAGCTCATAAATCATCTCTCACTGAAGTGCGGCGCAAGTGTTGTTTAAGACGGGAGTGGAGGGAGCGAGGGAGGGAGGGAGGGAGCGAGGGAGCGAGGGAGGGAGGAGGGAGGGAGGGAGGGAGGGAGCGAGGTGAGCGGAGAGAGGGAGGGAGGGAGCGAGGTGAGCGAAGGGAGCGAGCGAGGGAGGGAGGGAGGGAGGGAGCGAGGTGAGTGAAGGGAGGGAGCGAGGTGAGCGGAGGGAGGGAGCGAGGTGAGCGGAGGGAGGGAGCGAGGTGAGCGAAGGGAGCGAGGGAGGGAGCGAGGTGAGTGAAGGGAGGGAGCGAGGTGAGCGGAGAGAGGGAGGGAGGGAGCGAGGTGAGCGGAGAGAGAGTGAGGGAGCGAGGTGAGCGAAGGGAGCGAGGGAGGGAGCGAGGTGAGCGAAGGGAGCGAGGGAGGGAGCGAGGTGAGTGAAGGGAGGGAACGAGGTGAGCGGAGGGAGCGGAGGGAGGGAGGTGAGTGAAGGGAGCAAGGTGAGCGGAGGGAGGGAGGGAGCGAGGTGAGTGAAGGGAGCGGAGGGAGGGAGGGAGCGAGGTGAGTGAAGGGAGGGAGCGAGGTGAGCGGAGGGAGCGGAGGGAGGGAGGTGAGTGAAGGGAGCGGAGGGAGGGAGGGAGCGAGGTGAGTGAAGGGAGCGGAGGGAGGGAGGGAGCGAGGTGAGTGAAGGGAGGGAGCGAGGTGAGCGGAGGGAGCGGAGGGAGGGAGGTGAGTGAAGGGAGCAAGGTGAGCGGAGGGAAGGAGGGAGGTGAGCGGAGGGAAGGAGGGAGGTGAGCGGAGGGAGGGAGCGAGGGGAGCGGAGGGAGGGAGCGAGGTGAGCGGAGGGAGCGAGGGAGCGAGGTGAGCGGAGGGAGCGAGGGAGCGAGGTGAGCGGAGGGAGCGAGGGAGCGAGGTGAGCGGAGGGAGCGAGCGAGGTGAGCGGAGGGAGCGAGCGAGGGAGGGAGCGAGGTGAGCGGAGGGAGGGAGGGAGCGAGGGAGGGAGGGAGGGAGGGAGCGAGGGAGGGAGGGAGGGAGGGAGCGAGGTGAGCGGAGGGAGGGAGGGAGCGAGGTGAGTGAAGGGAGGTGAGCGGAGGGAGGGAGTGAGGTGAGTGAAGGGAGGTGAGCGGAGGGAGGGAGGGAGGGAGGTGAGTGAAGGGAGCGAGGGAGGGAGGGAGGAGGGAGGGAGCGAGGTGAGTGAAGGGAGCGAGGTGAGCGGAGGGAGGGAGGGAGCGAGGTGAGCGGAGGGAGGGAGGGGAGCGAGGTGAGCGGAGGGAGGGAGGGAGGGAGCGAGGGAGGGAGGGAGCGAGGGAAGGAGCGAGGTGAGTGAAGGGAGCGAGGTAAGTGAAGGGAGCGAGGTGAGCGGAGGGAGGGAGGGAGGGAGGGAGCGAGGTGAGTGAAGGGAGCGAGGTGAGCGGAGGGAGGGAGGGAGGGAGCGAGGTGAGTGAAGGGAGGGAGGAGCGAGGTGAGTGAAGGGAGCGAGGGAGGGAGGGAGCGAGGTGAGTGAAGGGAGCGAGGGAGGGAGGGAGCGAGGTGAGTGAAGGGAGCGAGGGAGCGAGGTGAGTGGAGGGAGCGAGGTGAGTGAAGGGAGGGAGGGAGGGAGCGAGGTGAATGAAGGGAGCGAGGTGAGCGGAGGGAGGGAGGGAGCAAGGGAGGGAGCGAGGTGAGTGAAGGGAGCGAGGTGAGTGAAGGGAGCGAGGTGAGCGAGGGAGGGAGGGAGGGAGCGAGGGAGGGAGCGAGGTGAGAGAAGGGTGCGAGGGAGCGAGGTGAGTGAAGGGAGCGAGGTGAGTGAAGGGAGCGAGGTGAGTGAAGGGAGGGAGGGAGCGAGGTGAGCAGAGGGAGGGAGGGAGGGAGCGAGGTGAGCGGAGGGAAGGAGGGAGGGAGCGAGGGAGGGAGGGAGGTGAGCGGAGGGAGGGAGGGAGCGAGGTGAGCGGAGGGAGGGAGGGAGGGAGCGAGCGAGGGAGGGAGCGAGGTGAGCGGAGGGAGGGAGGGAGCGAGGGAAGGAGCGAGGTGAGCGAGGTGAGTGAAGGGAGCGAGGTGAGCGGAGGGAGGTGAGTGAAGGGAGGGAGGGAGCGAGGTGAGTGAAGGGAGGGAGGAGCGAGGTGAGTGAAGGGAGCGAGGGAGGGAGGGAGCGAGGTGAGTGAAGGGAGCGAGGGAGCGAGGTGAGTGGAGGGAGCGAGGTGAGTGAAGGGAGGGAGGGAGGGAGCGAGGTGAATGAAGGGAGCGAGGTGAGCGGAGGGAGGGAGGGAGCAAGGGAGGGAGCGAGGTGAGTGAAGGGAGCGAGGTGAGCGAGGGAGGGAGGGAGGGAGCGAGGGAGGGAGCGAGGTGAGTGAAGGGTGCGAGGGAGCGAGGTGAGTGAAGGGAGCGAGGTGAGTGAAGGGAGCGAGGTGAGTGAAGGGAGGGAGGGAGCGAGGTGAGCAGAGGGAGGGAGGGAGGGAGCGAGGTGAGCGGAGGGAAGGAGGGAGGGAGGGAGCGAGGGAGGGAGCGAGGTGAGCGGAGGGAGGGAGGGAGCGAGGTGAGCGAGCGAGGTGAGCGGAGGGAGCGAGGGAGGGAGCGAGGTGAGCGGAGGGAGCGAGGGAGGGAGCGAGGTGAGTGGAGGGAGGGAGGGAGGGAGGTGAGCGGAGGGAGCGAGGGAGGGAGGGAGCGAGGTGAGCGGAGGGAGGGAGGAAGGGAGGGAGCGAGGTGAGCGGAGGGAGGGAGGGAGGGAGCGAGGTGAGCGGAGGGAGCGAGGGAGGGAGGGAGCGAGGTGAGTGAAGGGAGCGAGGTGAGTGAAGGGAGGTGAGCGGAGGGAGGGAGGGAGCGAGGTGAGCGGAGGGAGCGAGGTGAGTGAAGGGAGCGAGGTGAGTGAAGGGAGGTGAGCGAGGGAGGGAGGGAGTGAGGTGAGTGAAGGGAGGTGAGCGAGGGAGGGAGGGAGTGAGGTGAGCGGAGGGAGCGAGGGAGCGAGGTGAAGGGAAAGACGGGAGCGGAGAGGAGCATAGGGATTAAAGGGAGCGAGGGAAGGGAGCAGAGTGAGCGAGGGAAGAGAGCGAAGGGTAGTGGAGGTGAGCGGCTCAGAGGACGACTGCTTTGAGAAAGACAATTGTCGAGCTCAGTCCTTGGCATTTGGACCATGTTCTTTTGAATGAGCTCAGTCCTTGGCATTTGGACCATGTCACTCTGGTCCCTGTGGTCCTTTGAAAACCACAGCGGACTCTTCTTGGCTGATATCGGCCTCGTTCACTGTCGCAGTTCATGGTTTCATCTGCGCCTCTGTGGTCGCCTGGTTCCTTTCGATTCATCTGAAGAATATATTTTAATATTTTCTCAGGGTATTTTCTCCTTGAATAAGGCACTGGTCTACATTGAATCTATTACTATTCTTTGCTCTCTTTGCCTTTAGTTTTCTCAGTAAAGTCATATTGATGTCAACAATGCACTGATCAAAGCGTTCAGTAACTGTGACTGATGTAATTAGTTACATTTAATCAAATTCTTCTCCCTCTTTGGATTTTATTTCTGAGTTCAACCTATTTATCAAAATGTTGTTGGTGAAACTGTTAATGTCATTCAAACGTCCTCAAGTGTCCTGTAGGTGTCCAGGTGTAAACCCGGTTCTATTGGTGAAAACTGCCATGTGTCCTTGAGCAAGACACTTTACCGCCTCACCGCTGTGTCTGCGTTCTCCAGAGTCTGCGTTCTCCAGAGTCTGCGTTCTCCAGAGTCTGCGTTCTCCAGAGTCTGCGTTCTCCAGAGTCTGCGTTCTCCAGTGTCTGCGTTCTCCTGTGTCTGCGTTCTCCTGTGTCTGCGTTCTCCTGTGTCTGCGTTCTCCTGTGTCTGCGTTCTCCTGTGTCTGCGTTCTCCTGTGTCTGCGTTCTCCTGTGTCTGCGTTCTCCAGTGTCTGCGTTCTCCTGTGTCTGCGTTCTCCTGTGTCTGCGTTCTCCAGAGTCTGCGTTCTCCAGTGTCTGCGTTCTCCAGTGTCTGCGTTCTCCAGTGTCTGCGTTCTCCAGTGTCTGCGTTCTCCAGTGTCTGCGTTCTCCAGTGTCTGCGTTCTCCTGTGTCTGCGTTCTCCTGTGTCTGCGTTCTCCTGTGTCTGCGTTCTCCTGTGTCTGCGTTCTCCTGTGTCTGCGTTCTCCTGTGTCTGCGTTCTAAAAGTGTCTGCGTTCTAAAAGTGTCTGCGTTCTCCTGTGTCTGCGTTCTCCTGTGTCTGCGTTCTCCAGAGTTTGCGTTCTCCAAAGTCTCGTTCTAAAAGTGTCTGCGTTCTCCTGTGTCTGCGTTCTCCTGTGTCTGCGTTCTCCAGAGTCTGCGTTCTCCAGTGTCTGCGTTCTCCAGAGTCTGCGTTCTCCTGTGTCTGCGTTCTCCTGTGTCTGCGTTCTCCAGTGTCTGCGTTCTCCAGTGTCTGCGTTCTCCTGTGTCTACGTTCTCCTGTGTCTGCGTTCTCCTGTGTCTGCGTTTTCCAAAGTCTGCGTTCTCCAGTGTCTGCGTTCTCCTGTGTCTGCGTTCTCCTGTGTCTGCGTTCTCCAGAGTCTGCGTTCTCCTGTGTCTGCGTTCTCCTGTGTCTGCGTTCTCCTGTGTCTGCGTTCTCCTGTGTCTGCGTTCTCCTGTGTCTGCGTTCTCCTGTGTCTGCGTTCTCCAGTGTCTGCGTTCTCCAGTGTCTGCGTTCTCCTGTGTCTGCGTTCTCCTGTGTCTGCGTTCTCCTGTGTCTGCGTTCTCCTGTGTCTGCGTTCTCCTGTGTCTGCGTTCTCCTGTGTCTGCGTTCTCCTGTGTCTGCGTTCTCCTGTGTCTGCGTTCTCCAGAGTCTGCGTTCTCCTGTGTCTGCGTTCTCCTGTGTCTGCGTTCTCCTGTGTCTGCGTTCTCCTGTGTCTGCGTTCTCCTGTGTCTGCGTTCTCCAGAGTCTGCGTTCTCCAGTGTCTGCGTTCTCCAGTGTCTGCGTTCTCCAGTGTCTGCGTTCTCCAGTGTCTGCGTTCTCCAGTGTCTGCGTTCTCCTATGTCTGCATTCTCCTGTGTCTGCGTTCTCCAGAGTCTGCGTTCTCCAGTGTCTGCGTTCTCCTGTGTCTGCGTTCTCCAGTGTCTGCGTTCTCCAGTGTCTGCGTTCTCCTGTGTCTGCGTTCTCCTGTGTCTGCGTTCTCCTGTGTCTGCGTTCTCCTGTGTCTGCGTTCTCCTGTGTCTGCGTTCTCCAGAGTCTGCGTTCTCCAGTGTCTGCGTTCTCCAGTGTCTGCGTTCTCCTGTGTCTGCGTTCTCCTGTGTCTGCGTTCTCCTGTGTCTGCGTTCTCCTGTGTCTGCGTTCTCCTGTGTCTGCGTTCTCCTGTGTCTGCGTTCTCCTGTGTCTGCGTTCTCCTGTGTCTGCGTTCTCCAGTGTCTGCGTTCTCCTGTGTCTGCGTTCTCCTGTGTCTGCGTTCTCCAGAGTCTGCGTTCTCCAGTGTCTGCGTTCTCCAGTGTCTGCGTTCTCCAGTGTCTGCGTTCTCCAGTGTCTGCGTTCTCCAGTGTCTGCGTTCTCCAGAGTCTGCGTTCTCCAGTGTCTGCGTTCTCCTGTGTCTGCGTTCTCCTGTGTCTGCGTTCTCCTGTGTCTGCGTTCTCCTGTGTCTGCGTTCTCCTGTGTCTGCGTTCTCCTGTGTCTGCGTTCTAAAAGTGTCTGCGTTCTAAAAGTGTCTGCGTTCTCCTGTGTCTGCGTTCTCCTGTGTCTGCGTTCTCCAGAGTTTGCGTTCTCCAAAGTCTGCGTTCTAAAAGTGTCTGCGTTCTCCTGTGTCTGCGTTCTCCTGTGTCTGCGTTCTCCAGAGTCTGCGTTCTCCAGTGTCTGCGTTCTCCAGAGTCTGCGTTCTCCTGTGTCTGCGTTCTCCTGTGTCTGCGTTCTCCTGTGTCTGCGTTCTCCTGTGTCTGCGTTCTCCTGTGTCTGCGTTCTCCTGTGTCTGCGTTCTCCTGTGTCTGCGTTCTCCTGTGTCTGCGTTCTCCTGTGTCTGCGTTCTCCAGAGTCTGCGTTCTCCTGTGTCTGCGTTCTCCTGTGTCTGCGTTCTCCTGTGTCTGCGTTCTCCTGTGTCTGCGTTCTCCTGTGTCTGCGTTCTCCAGAGTCTGCGTTCTCCAGTGTCTGCGTTCTCCAGTGTCTGCGTTCTCCAGTGTCTGCGTTCTCCAGTGTCTGCGTTCTCCAGTGTCTGCATTCTCCTATGTCTGCATTCTCCTGTGTCTGCGTTCTCCAGAGTCTGCGTTCTCCAGTGTCTGCGTTCTCCTGTGTCTGCGTTCTCCTATGTCTGCGTTCTCCAGTGTCTGCGTTCTCCAGTGTGTAAAAGTGTGATTGGTTCCTTAATGTGGGGGTCTCATGTCATCTGCTCTGTCTGATGTGTGCTGTCGTGTCTTTGGGCAAGACACTTAACCCACTTTCAAGCCCCAATCGAAAGACCAAGGGCGTGTCTTCAATGACAGAGCAGCCATCTTGCCGTGGACCCACCCCCTGCTGGAGGTGGGGAGGGGCTGGTTCTCTGACGGCCCCCGACCCAGAAATGGACGGATAAAGAGGAAGAAAATAACATGACCTTTAGATAAACTTTTGAACAATATTCTAATTACTGATGTGTTTATATTAGTGAATAACACACATTATAACCGCTCCCTGTGGATCTTCGATTTGTTTTAGTCTCACTGCTGATCGATCAATAGTTGACGGTGACATTGGATTCAACTTTTGGCTGGTTCCAATAAAAGCTCTTCCTCACTGACAAAAGTTTGGACACCCTATTAGATCTTCCATAAAAATCCATGACAGAAAAATGGCGGTGCTTCTTTGACGTATGGCCACGGTTTGAGAGTGTGAAAGATTACATTTTCCACCGTGAGAAAGTCTGACGGGTAAAATGTGCACGACGTTGATGTGTCAGAGGTAAAATAGAGAAACAAAAGGATAGATGACGTGGGGAAGAAAAGGAGGCCAAGGGGAAGTGTGTACGTGTGTATCTGTGTGTGTGTGTGCGTGTGTGTATGCGTGTGTGTGTGTGTGTGTAATCCTGAAAGATGGTGGAAATAACCAGGACTGAAAGACAGACCTCGATGAGAGAGACGTCAGAGAAGAGAGGAGCCGAGTGAGATGGATGTGTCGGGAGCAGCGATAAAGAAGGAGAGAGGGAGGAAGAGTGAGGAAGGGGGAGGACGGGGGAGGAAGGGGAGGGTCTGACAGGCGGATGCCATGGAAATCTGAATTGAATAAACCCGCTTCCCAGAGAGCATTAGCATAAAAGCTTTACACTTGTTAGCATTCAACTAAAAGGGAATTTTAAGTAAAAACATGTATATCTGACACACATTTTATATGTATGTGTGTATTAATAAATATATGTGTAGAGTGCATATTTATGTGTGTACAGTATATGTATGTGCACAGTATATGTATGTGCACAGTATATGTATGTGCACAGTATATGTATGTGCACAGTGTATGTATGTATGTGTACAGTGTATGTATGTGTACAGTGTATGTATGTGTACAGTGTATGTATGTATATACATATTTTTTTCTCTTACTCTGATTATCACTTTGGGCCATGTTCTTTTTGCTAAAAATTTATAAATGTCATTACTTGACGGGGTTTGTCCAAATCTCTCTCTTCACGTTTCCTCCTCAGTCAGTGAGGATTCAAATACAAACTGCAAACTACGTCAATACTGTATAAACTCCATGTGAAAGGCTAATGTCACTCGGCCTGAGGCGTCGCCATGGCAACGCAGCCGTGAGTAGTTAAATTACAGTCTGTAAATGTTCAGTTCCGGACGTCGGGTCATTGTTGTGATGCTATTTGCACAACTTACAGAATTTTTAATAATCAATAACGCTTATGATATGTTCCAGTCAGGGTTTAGACCCCACCACAGCACTGAGACCGCGCTAATAAAGGTAACAAATGACATCAAACTAAACACTGACGCAGGAAAAGTCTCAGTCCTTTTTCTGTTAGATTTAAGTGCTGCTTTTGACACATTTGATCATGGCATCCTCATTCAGAGACTTGAGGACTGGGTTGGTGTTGCTGGCACCGCCCTAAGCTGGTTTAGGTCCTTTTTACAAGACAGAAAGTTTTTTGTGGAGATCGAAAACTGTACCTCAGACCACTTGGCCCTGACCTGCGGAGTGCCACAGGGGTCAATCCTGGGTCCTCTTCTGTTTAATATTTACATGTTGCCTCTAGGTCAGTTGATTCACAGTAATAATGTCTCTTATCACAATTACGCTGACGATACTCAGGTCTATGTGTCCCTGACAGCAGGAGAGCATGAACCAGTGGACTCGCTCCTTCACTGTGTCCAGCAAATCGGTGATTGGATGCAAAATAACTTTCTCCAACTAAACACCGACAAAACTGAAATAATTGTTTTCGGACCCCAGAAACAAAGAGAGAGCGTTATTTGTCACCTCCAGGCTCTCTCTCTACAACCCTCAAATCAGGTCAGAAATCTAGGAGTGATAATGGACTCAGACTTAAATTTCAAAAGCCACATAAAATCTGTAACATCAGCAGCTTATTACCACCTAAAAAACATTGCTAAAATTAAAAACATAGTGTCTAAGGCAGACTTGGAGACTCTTATACACGCTTTTGTCTCCAGTCGGTTAGACTATTGCAATGGCCTGCTCACAGGTCTCTCCAAACAGGCTGTAAAACAGCTGCAGTACATTCAACATGCAGCAGCTCGAGTCCTGACCAGAACTAGGAAGTACGACCACATTAGTCCAGTTCTCAGGTCTCTGCACTGGCTTCCTGTTCCTCAGAGAATAGACTTAAAAGCAGCTTTACTTGTGTACAAGTCTCTCCATGGTCTCGCGCCAAGGTACATCCATGACATGTTTGTGCCATATGAACCGACCCGGACTCTGAGGAGCACAGGGACTGGACTCCTGTTAGTGCCCAGAGTCGGTACTAGACATGGGCAAACTGCATTTCAGATTCATGCGGCTAGAGTCTGGAACAGTCTTCCTGAGAATGTGAGACAGGCGTCTACTCTGGCATCTTTTAAATCTAGGCTCAAAACAATTCTGTTTAGCTGCGCATATACAACTGAATGATTTTATCTTTTCATCTTTGTTTTTATCTTTAATCTTTTTAATGCACTGTGACTATTTATGATTTTAGTCCCATCTGTGATTTTAATGCTTAAAGGTTTTTAATTTTTGTGATTTTATTTTTAATGTTTTTAATATATCTTGTGCTCTTAATGTGTTTGATTTATGCATGATGTGATAGGGGATGTGAAGCGCTTTGCGTTGCCTTGTGTAGGAAAGGCGCTCTACAAATAAACGTTGATTGATTGATTGATTGATATTTCGACACGAGTGGGATTAAAGAGGTTTTAGTTTGTCGCTTGTTTTCTGGTTTAGAATATGTGAATAAAGACCTTTCGTTCACCGGGGTCAGGGGTCAGGATGCACCAACACCACTGTTTCCAAAACCGATATGAGTCCCTTTGAGTATGGACCGATACAGAATACAAGTACTGCACTTCCCTCCTTCCTTCCTTGTTTCTAATATTTTTTCTTATTTCCAGACTTTTCTTGTTTAGATAAAATAAGTTTGACGCTGTATTTTAACAAAACATCAAAAATGTTTAAGAAATATATATATATATATATATATATATATATTAGGGCTGTCAAAATTATCGCGTTAACTCACGTTAATTACATTTTTTATTAACGCGTTTTTTTTTTTTAAACGCATTAACGCATGTCCGAATGACTCGCCCATTTATCCATAAGAATATGACTCCGAATGCTGCGTGTGAGATGGTCTCCTCCGTGGCTGCTCTGGTTGTTGTTAGCGGCTGTGAGTGAGTGCGAGCTTTACACGGGCTGCAAGCATGGATCTAGCTATTATAATAACAGCAGCAAGCGATTGCTCCGTTCACAGCGCTCTGCGCTCTGCGCACTGTATTCTCCCTGGTTCTTGTCTGTCAGGCGCGCTCTGAGCACTGTATTTTCCCTGGTTCTTGTCTGTCAGGCGCGAGTGTTGCTCGTGTGTGTTTTTGGGAACTAATTATTTTAAAATAGTCTCTTTCAATAGCGAACTATCTGAATGACGTCACTAGGCCACGCCCCCGCCGCCTGTCAACTCCCGCCCACATGTTTCGGACAAACACTGCCAAAATGAATCAAATACCTCTTGTCACTTTAGACGAAAATGATAAACCAGGGGCAAAATTCCACCATCAAACCATCAGGGATCATAGTGTAGACCAATTAAAACGTTGGCTTGAATGTCGTGGTCTTCCAGTAACTGGTAGAAAGTTTGATTTGATAAAAAAGTAATGGTGAGGATTATGCTAACATTATCTAGTCATTTAAATTGCAATGTTAGCGCCTTCTTTGTTTATTTTGCTCTGATTAACTTCCATTTATCAAGTTGTTTTTTGTACTGTCCATTTCGTAATTAGTTTGATCATTTAGTTAACTACAGTCAGCCGATATTATAATAGATCCATGGGGTCACAACGGGCTACACCACTACTGTCTCTGAGAGAGAAACTATCGGAGCTAGCCACACTCAGTAAACGCAAACGACAATCAATCAACACATTTAAATGTTAATGCTAGAATATAATATTCATACAACACACGTGCACAGAGGTTTTCAGAATTATCTGTTAAGGTTTTCATGACAAAAATACTTTTTTAATGCGACTAAAGCGATCGCTTTTTTAAAGTAGGTGAACTAAAACCTTTGGGAACTATTTTCTTTGCACTCATTAAATAAACCTTTTGGCATGAATAGTGACAGAAGTTTATTTTGTGTGTTCAGTTGGTACAAAGCCGTATAATAAGCGGACCCCAACGCGCTTCGTCTGTGCTTATTTTCCGATAGTCACGAAGTTGAAAAAATCCCTCTCATCTTTCTTCAGGTGTGAGAATTGTATACATTCTGGATTAGGACAAACAATACTAATATGGATTGATGGGGCTAACTACATTCAGAAGAGCTCAGACGGACCTGATACAGCGGTCCAGATCCAGTCCCAGCTAAACGTAGCTAGGACTGGATCTGGAGGCTCCACAGTTGGTCCAGCGAAGTGTTTTGAAAAAACATGTCCTTTTTAACATTTTCATGAGAGAAATTCTGCTGACCACAAGCACCCACCTCTTGCACTTGTCCTGGTCTGGTCCTGGTCTGGTCCTGGTCTGGTTCGATGGTGTGGTTTAACGAACAGGTTGAATGTTACTGCTTTCATATAGTCCTTTTCAGAGTATCTGAAATCGCTCCCACAAGCACCATAACTGCAGTGTTTTGTTGTCACCATGATTCAATGATTTAGCCCAAATAAATACACACGCTTATGTGGAGAACACAGTAGTACTCAACGGAGTCGGACAGAGTTTGTCCGAAACATGCGCGCATGCGCAGTCATTGGAACTATTTTTAGCACATTTCGGAAACCGGACAGTGCCCTATTGCAAGTTTTGTAATCTGTTTGTTTGATCAATGGATAAAAATAAATGCAATTTAATTAAATGGCACCTTGGCCTGTCTTATACCTGTTTGCCTGCAGGACAGTTCCCTAAACTAACATATCATACTAAAATAGGGTGGGGTTGTTGCAACAATTAATCTACTTAGAAGTTATCCTAAATTACAGCCAGCTAAAGCTCGGTACCACGCAATAGTTACTTTTACTGGTAACTAGTTACTTTTATAGTGGAGTAACTCAGTAAGTCAATTACTTTTTGGAAGAAGTAACTAACTAATTACTTTTTCAAAGTAACTTACCCAACACTGGTAATTAAATTTGATAGTCTCATTTAACTTCAATTGGAGTGGATTTGCTATGAGACTTGGGTGGCATCTCTGACTGCCACCCCCCTGACCCAGAAATGGATTAAAGGGTAGAAAATGGATGGATGGAGTGGATTTGAAATAGAATGTTAAACATGCGATTAATCGTGAGTTAACTCACCATTACTATGCGATTAATCAACTAAAAAAATTTAATCGTTTGACAGCCCTAATATATATATATATATATATATATATATATATATATATATATATATATGCTTGAAATGTTTTTAAACTAGAATCAAGTCGTTTTGGGCAAGTTTTATTTTAAGGCATCATTTCTTCTATTTTCAGATTATTTTTATTATTTTAAAGCAGTATTTTCCTTTTTTTCATAAATGTATTTTTTCCAGTGTAGTTGAATCACTGGTCTCCCATCCTTGTTTGTGCCTGTACTTTCCCTCACTCACAGAAGATCAGAGACCCCCTACACATGTGTTTGATGCAGATTCTCCCAAACCCTAACACCTGGTCCATGGTTCCTCACATGGTCCTCCTCACATGGTCCTCCTTACATGGTCCTCCCCACATGGTCCTCCTCACATGGTCCTCCACACATGGTCCTCCACACATGGTCCTCCACACATGGTCCTCCTCACATGGTCCTCCTCACATGGTCCTCCTCACATGGTCCTCCTCACATGGTCCTCCTCACAATGTCCTCCTTACATGGTCCTCCCCACATGGTACTCCCCACATGGTCCTCCTCACATGGTCCTCCACACATGATCCTCCACACATGGTCCTCCTCACATGGTCCTCCTCACATGGTCCTCCCCACATGGTCCTCCTCACATGGTCCTCCACACAAGGTCCTCCTCACATGGTCCTCCTCACATGGTTCTCCTCACATGGTCCTCCTCACATGGTTTTCCCCACATGGTCCTCCCCACATGGTTCTCCTCACATGGTCCTCCACACATGGTCCTCCCCACATGGTCCTCCTCACATGGTCCTCCCCACAAGGTCCTCCTCACATGGTCCTCCTCACATGGTCCTCCTCACATGGTCCTCCCCACAAGGTCCTCCTCACATGGTCCTCCTCACATGGTCCTCCCCACAAGGTCCTCCTCACATGGTCCTCCTCACATGGTCCTCCTCACAGCCTCGCTCTGGGCAGTGATGTTCAGCAGGAGGTTCTGGGATCGGGACACGCTGCTGCTCGAGGTGGATCTGTGCAGAGCAGAGAATGAGCCGAAGCTGCACGTTTTTATGCTTTTGTTTGAGTTGATCCAGAAAGAACCGGAGGCGGAGTCCAGAAATACCTTCAGGGACATCTAATTATTGAGTGTATGTGTGTGTGTGTGCGTGCGCGACTGATGCCGTTTTCATACTTGTTGCCGTGCGTGTGTGTGATGCCGTTTTCATACTTGTTGCCGTGCGTGTGTGTGATGCCGTTTTCATACTTGTTGCCGTGTGTGTGTGTGTGTGTGATGCCGTTTTCATACTTGTTGCCGTGCGTGTGTGTGATGCCGTTTTCATACTTGTTGCCGTGCGTGTGTGTGTGTGTGTGATGCCGTTTTCATACTTGTTGCCGTGCGTGTGTGTGTGTGTGTGATGCCGTTTTCATACTTGTTGCCGTGCGTGTGTGTGATGCCGTTTTCATACTTGTTGCCGTGCGTGTGTGTGTGTGTGTGATGCCGTTTTCATACTTGTTGCCGTGGTGTGTGTGATGCCGTTTTCATACTTGTTGCCGTGCGTGTGTGTGTGTGTGATGCCGTTTTCATACTTGTTGCCGTGTGTGTGTGTGTGTGTGATGCCGTTTTCATACTTGTTGCCGTGTTGTGTGTGTGTGTGTGATGCCGTTTTCATACTTGTTGCCGTGCGTGTGTGTGATGCCGTTTTCATACTTGTTGCCGTGCGTGTGTGTGTGTGTGATGCCGTTTTCATACTTGTTGCCGTGCGTGTGTGTGATGCCGTTTTCATACTTGTTGCCGTGCGTGTGTGTGATGCCGTTTTCATACTTGTTGCCGTGCGTGTGTGTGATGCCGTTTTCATACTTGTTGCCGTGTGTGTGTGTGTGTGTGATGCCGTTTTCATACTTGTTGCCGTGCGTGTGTGTGATGCCGTTTTCATACTTGTTGCCGTGCGTGTGTGTGTGTGTGATGCCGTTTTCATACTTGTTGCCGTGCGTGTGTGTGATGCCGTTTTCATACTTGTTGCCGTGTGTGTGTGTGTGTGTGATGCCGTTTTCATACTTGTTGCCGTGCGTGTGTGTGATGCCGTTTTCATACTTGTTGCCGTGCGTGTGTGTGTGTGTGATGCCGTTTTCATACTTGTTGCCGTGCGTGTGTGTGATGCCGTTTTCATACTTGTTGCCGTGTGTGTGTGTGTGTGTGATGCCGTTTTCATACTTGTTGCCGTGCGTGTGTGTGATGCCGTTTTCATACTTGTTGCCGTGCGTGTGTGTGTGTGTGATGCCGTTTTCATACTTGTTGCCGTGCGTGTGTGTGATGCCGTTTTCATACTTGTTGCCGTGCGTGTGTGTGATGCCGTTTTCATACTTGTTGCCGTGCGTGTGTGTGTGTGTGATGCCGTTTTCATACTTGTTGCCGTGCGTGTGTGTGATGCCGTTTTCATACTTGTTGCCGTGTGTGTGTGTGTGTGTGATGCCGTTTTCATACTTGTTGCCGTGCGTGTGTGTGATGCCGTTTTCATACTTGTTGCCGTGCGTGTGTGTGTGTGTGATGCCGTTTTCATACTTGTTGCCGTGCGTGTGTGTGATGCCGTTTTCATACTTGTTGCCGTGTGTGTGTGTGTGTGTGATGCCGTTTTCATACTTGTTGCCGTGCGTGTGTGTGATGCCGTTTTCATACTTGTTGCCGTGCGTGTGTGTGTGTGTGATGCCGTTTTCATACTTGTTGCCGTGCGTGTGTGTGATGCCGTTTTCATACTTGTTGCCGTGCGTGTGTGTGATGCCGTTTTCATACTTGTTGCCGTGTGTGTGTGTGTGTGTGATGCCGTTTTCATACTTGTTGCCGTGCGTGTGTGTGATGCCGTTTTCATACTTGTTGCCGTGCGTGTGTGTGTGTGTGATGCCGTTTTCATACTTGTTGCCGTGCGTGTGTGTGATGCCGTTTTCATACTTGTTGCCGTGTGTGTGTGTGTGTGTGATGCCGTTTTCATACTTGTTGCCGTGCGTGTGTGTGATGCCGTTTTCATACTTGTTGCCGTGCGTGTGTGTGATGCCGTTTTCATACTTGTTGCCGTGCGTGTGTGTGTGTGTGATGCCGTTTTCATACTTGTTGCCGTGCGTGTGTGTGATGCCGTTTTTCATACTTGTTGCCGTGCGTGTGTGTGTGTGTGATGCCGTTTTCATACTTGTTGCCGTGCGTGTGTGTGATGCCGTTTTCATACTTGTTGCCGTGCGTGTGTGTGATGCCGTTTTCATACTTGTTGCCGTGTGTGTGTGTGTGTGTGATGCCGTTTTCATACTTGTTGCCGTGCGTGTGTGTGATGCCGTTTTCATACTTGTTGCCGTGCGTGTGTGTGTGTGTGATGCCGTTTTCATACTTGTTGCCGTGCGTGTGTGTGATGCCGTTTTCATACTTGTTGCCGTGTGTGTGTGTGTGTGTGATGCCGTTTTCATACTTGTTGCCGTGCGTGTGTGTGATGCCGTTTTCATACTTGTTGCCGTGCGTGTGTGTGTGTGTGATGCCGTTTTCATACTTGTTGCCGTGCGTGTGTGTGATGCCGTTTTCATACTTGTTGCCGTGTGTGTGTGTGTGTGTGATGCCGTTTTCATACTTGTTGCCGTGCGTGTGTGTGATGCCGTTTTCATACTTGTTGCCGTGCGTGTGTGTGTGTGTGATGCCGTTTTCATACTTGTTGCCGTGCGTGTGTGTGATGCCGTTTTCATACTTGTTGCCGTGCGTGTGTGTGATGCCGTTTTCATACTTGTTGCCGTGCGTGTGTGTGTGTGTGATGCCGTTTTCATACTTGTTGCCGTGCGTGTGTGTGATGCCGTTTTCATACTTGTTGCCGTGTGTGTGTGTGTGTGTGATGCCGTTTTCATACTTGTTGCCGTGCGTGTGTGTGATGCCGTTTTCATACTTGTTGCCGTGCGTGTGTGTGTGTGTGATGCCGTTTTCATACTTGTTGCCGTGCGTGTGTGTGATGCCGTTTTCATACTTGTTGCGTGTGTGTGTGTGTGTGTGTGATGCCGTTTTCATACTTGTTGCCGTGCGTGTGTGTGATGCCGTTTTCATACTTGTTGCCGTGCGTGTGTGTGTGTGTGATGCCGTTTTCATACTTGTTGCCGTGCGTGTGTGTGATGCCGTTTTCATACTTGTTGCCGTGCGTGTGTGTGATGCCGTTTTCATACTTGTTGCCGTGTGTGTGTGTGTGTGTGATGCCGTTTTCATACTTGTTGCCGTGCGTGTGTGTGATGCCGTTTTCATACTTGTTGCCGTGCGTGTGTGTGTGTGTGATGCCGTTTTCATACTTGTTGCCGTGCGTGTGTGTGATGCCGTTTTCATACTTGTTGCCGTGCGTGTGTGTGATGCCGTTTTCATACTTGTTGCCGTGCGTGTGTGTGTGTGTGATGCCGTTTTCATACTTGTTGCCGTGCGTGTGTGTGATGCCGTTTTCATACTTGTTGCCGTGCGTGTGTGTGTGTGTGTGATGCCGTTTTCATACTTGTTGCCGTGCGTGTGTGTGATGCCGTTTTCATACTTGTTGCCGTGCGTGTGTGTGATGCCGTTTTCATACTTGTTGCCGTGTGTGTGTGTGATGCCGTTTTCATACTTGTTGCCGTGCGTGTGTGTGATGCCGTTTTCATACTTTTTGCCGTGCGTGTGTGTGTGTGTGATGCCGTTTTCATACTTGTTGCCGTGCGTGTGTGTGATGCCGTTTTCATACTTGTTGCCGTGCGTGTGTGTGTGTGTGATGCCGTTTTCATACTTGTTGCCGTGTGTGTATGTGTGTGTGATGCCGTTTTCATACTTGTTGCCGTGTGTGTCATTGCGTACATGACACGTATGAACTCTGATGCGTTATGAGTCAAAGCGGTAGATTGCGATTGACGCATTGAGCCCCGTGTTCTACAGCAGACCACTTTCACTTAAAGAGGTCGGGAGACACGCCTTTGCTATAGATCCCTGAGGTCTGGAACTATTTCTCAGCTTTAATAACATCTCCTCACGTACCGTTGTTAAAACTGCCTTAGCTACTGTACCATGTCTCCATGTGATTGCTATAAGTAGCTTACGTCAATAAAAGTGATAGCTGTACCTAATGTCACCGTAGGAGCAGATGGGACAAGGGTTTGAGGATGTGTTGTATGTGCATATTGTCTTGTCTGTGTCTGTGGTCATGTATGTAACTTTTGTTTTTTTAGCAGAGAAAATCATGAGCAAAAAGAGCTGATTAATCTCAAGGAGCAATCCCTGATAAATAACTAATGTGCCCTTTAATACTGCGCTCCCATTGGTTGTTCTTGTTACAAATCTAAAGCTGCACTTCCTTGATCTTCCCCAAATACTTTTACAATCCTACAATCCACATTTCCTTTGCGATATTGACAGATTAATTAAGCCTTTTCTCTCTCTCTGTGTTTTCAGGATGGAGTCCACAGAGAAATGTGAAGTAGTGATACAACATTTCAATGGAAAGTACCTGAAAACCCCGCCAGGCATTCCAGGTAAGACAGCTCTTGTTTTACATTAAATCCGCCGCTTTCTTATCTCCTCTTATCGCTCCTATCTGGGAAAACTACGCCATGCAACCAGGGACCGCCTTTTCTAATTCAATTATGGTAATTTCTGGTCTCAGATTGGCCGGACAGCTTGATAGATTGTGTACACTGTGGGTTCTGACACCTCGCTCGCCGCAGCGGTGCTGGTGGTGGTTGTTGCCCGCGGTCTTAAACCATACTTTTATTTTTCCTCGCCATGCTTTTACCGCTGCAGGCTCGGACTTCTGGGCCGGGAGAAGAAAACCTCCTTAATATTCACACTCATGCCTCAGCGCTGTTCTTTGCAATCTACTTAAGAGCTTGCACCCTCCTCCTTCTTCCTCTGCGTCTTTCCTATGTCCTAGCTCCTGCACTTAGCTCCTGCACTTAGCCCACACGCTAGCACAGTCCAAGGAGACGACGAGCTCGAGCCAAGAGGAAGGATGTTAGGACTGAACTGCCAAGGATTTGTCTAAAAGTTCACTTCCAAGTTTCAAATGGGAAAACCAGAGGAGTCTCGGAGGGAGTATGAGTGACGCGAGGTGGTAGATCAAGAAGCGTGGGGTTAAGGATTTCAGAGAAAGGCCGGGATGAAGAGGGAAAGTGCTGCTTAAGCACATCTGGGACAGGGGTGTTCAAAGCCCCCGCTAGCTCCCAGCAGGACGCCCAGGCCAGACCGGGCCAGACC